TCCTCGAATTGCAACCGTAACCTTGTAAGGTCATGCATTAGAAATGAATCAAGCGCTATACAACATTGAACTAACGTTCCGGAATCTCATTGGATAATTCGACGTCGTTCGCTGATTGGCAGTTAGTGGTGTCGAAAGTTTAACTTGGCCATCCTGAAGGGAGGGGGAAGAGTACACGACAGAAGATTGTGAAGTGTGTGTGTGTGTGTGATACAGTTGAAAATGAATCTACCATCATAAAACTCAAATTTAAACTGGTTAGTTAGGTTCCTGTAGGAAATAACTATTCGACTGTCAGATCAGTACCTTGTATCTTTTTAGTGTCAAAATTTGTCACAACCACGCAGTAGCTTGGGAGAGGGTTTAGATTCTAAGAAGTAATCTAGGTAGGTGGAGAGAGAGAGGCTGATTACAGAATCCTTGTTCATCGAGTGAATCTACAGCCAACACATGCAACAGAAATGACTCAATGTAAATACCAGAAATATGGAAGATATTATTACCACCTGTCAGTCAAATCAGAGTAGGATAATAAATAATCTTAAAATTCTATTTCAATTCAACTCACGTACATCACAACATTCTAACAAGTTACTTATTATAATGACTATAAAGACACTCGTCTTATTTCCCATCTGATTGTAAATGGTCATAAACACTCATATTATTATTTCTGAATGTACATTATCCCATACTAATTTTTATTCAAATATCTGGTCAATTCCACACATATATGTAAGTGAAGGAAAAAGTTATGTAAGTGAGTGACTTGATATGATTGTGAGCATTAGTTTGTGCTTGAGGTGTGGTTATCAGTTAATATTACTGTGTAACACTGTGTGATTTATCAAAATAAAATCTTATCCATAATGCAGTCAAAATTTGTTTCCTTAAATACCAGTGTATTCATTCATCCGTGTGGACACATTCAGCGTATCAAGTCTGATCATGGATGACCATCAGTTGGGGAACCATTGAAGCCACCAGGGAGTATTGGAAGGCCGTTTCGTCCTTAGTCTGGACTCGTCATCAGTACGCACCTATTGGGTTTCAAACCTGGGACCATTCTGTTACAAGTCGATCTCTAAGACTATTCAGCCGAGTGCTAGGTAACGCGTTGGGGGGGAATCAATCGACGAGGCTGTGAAGCTACATCGAATGAGATGCTTAGGACATGTGTGCCTAGTCATCGCCTTCCTTGACAGGCCATGTTAGCTGACATAGGGTCAGGAGGGAAAAGAGCTAGCGGTGGTCGAAGCAAAACATGGATTCATCAGTCAATGAAATCCACAACAGTTAATTTGAGCCAGTCAGGTAGGGAGGTGTAGCCTTCTTGATCGGGGTCCTCGGGACGGTAGAAACCAATGGCTGGAGACGATTAGTGATATGGCTCAAACTCATCGTTCTCAGTGAAGGCTGGCGCAGATGCATCAACTCCTTGTGACTTGTACTTTCCAATGAAACTATATTATTCTTTACTATTTCTATTCCTTTTGCCTCATATCCCTGTCTGCTGTCTCTATTATGCATTTCTTCCACTTTCTTCTCTTACTTTGTGTGCTACATGGAGGGAGTGTGGCGACTTGTACTGATGCACATCGATGGTAAGTTCTATGTTGAAAACAGACAGACAGACTATTCAGCGACTGGTACTTTTCCCAACGACCAGCTCATGAATTCTAACTTCTATCAATTCATGATTTTAGCACGACCACCAGCTAGCGGCCTATTCAGTTGGGTCTCAGTAGCTAAATGGTTTACGGAATCGCCTTGTAACCGGTTGGGCCTAGGTTTGAGACCTAGTGGGTGCGCGGTACTGACGATGAGTCTCAAACTAATGACGAAACAGATATTCAGTACTCCCTGGTTTCCAGTGGTCCTCTAACTCAATCCGTAGTCGAACTTGTAACAAATCATCAGACTTCAGCGTAATTTGTTTCTCAATGGATCGCATAACACCAACGTCATCCTGTCATACTAAGATGACCAACCATAGTATTTCAATATATATGTATGCTGTTTCTTGTATATTTTGATATTAAAATTATTTCCCGCTTTTTAACTGAGTAGTTGACAAGTAACGATAAAGAAAATACTGCATGGTTGGTAGCGGTGGTAGATGATTGATTAGCAGTGGAATCATGGTCACTCATTTCGTTTCTTTGGTTTTTATTTCTTTGTATACCAAGAGCAGCATGGAACTTCAAGCTTGAGATTAGGAGTTTCAGTAGTATTGATTTCATTTCAATTGTTGGGGGGTGGGTGGGTGGTGGAGTTGCTAGTCCCACGCCCAACCTTCCTTATGCATTGGGTTGGGCAAAGTTTCAGAGTTCTCTGGCTGAACCACTAGCGTGTTTGGAAAGCATTCTACCCAGTTAAGCATCATCGGTATTCTGTTTAGGGCTTGTTAACTGGACAATGAGCGATTGCGTCCTTAATGAGACTTGAATCCGGTATCCATCACTATATCCGTCAAAGCTTTATCCACTACAACACAATGAGTCTGCTCTTTTACAACGAGCATCAGTTATTCTGAAAGTTCTTTTTCATTTCTTGTTGATTAGTTTGTACTGGACTGAAATACTCGGTATATGTTGGAATGCTTCCTCCTAGTGTGGACACTCCGACGGTACTTTTCTGTCGGGAGTCAGTAAAAGGTCTGAGTCTAACGGTCTTAAACTTAATCCTTTTAAATGTCAAACTGTTAATTTCAGCTTAAGATGTATGTAAAAGACAGGTAAAAGAAGCCGTCGATTTTCATGACAGTTGTAAGATTGACGACAGTGATATAGGAATTAAATCAGAAATTAAGTATTATTATTATTTATTATTTACTTCGGCTATCTCCTACGAGAGGATGAGCCGGCTTCATGAACCATGAAGTTTCATGGGAATCGGGTACGAGTGATGTCCCCAGCATCGCTCGGCCTTTTGTTTGAGAGTGCAGCTCTAGCCTTTACACAACCAAGTGTGACCTACAAGGCAGTAGGAGTGGAGTAGGGAGTCCACTATCCATTGGCAGCCGGTGACCAGAGTCCGGTTCATACGCCTTTTTGAATGGGGCCAGTCATCCAGGGCATCCAATAAGCCCTTTGTCCATACGTCTGCCGGTGAGCTCCAGTGAGCTTCATACGTCAGTTGTCGGAGGTTTGGAATCAGGGTTTAGCCATCTCCCCTAGACTGTCATCCAATGGACAGTCAACCCGGTGAAGAGCGCCGGGCATCCACTTTTGCCCTCTCACTTCGGTGAAAAAAAAACACCTCCGCCACGTGAAGGCAGTGAGTAGGACTTCCTCAAGAGAGGCTATGTAAGACGCCCGGTCATATGGGAGCATTTCAAGAGGTGTACGGAGGGGTGGCCAACCCGCAGCGCAAAACACCCACCCCCGACCATCCTGAGGCTTTGGAGGCAAAAATTAAGTATCTTGGACTCATTCTCTCTTCTGATATCTCCTGGTCTTCCATGTCTTAGTGATCTCCAGTAAAATATTCCGCCTGACATTTTACATTAAGAAGTTAAGGCACTCGGGCATAACTCAACCAACCCCTCCTCTTACAGTTCATAAACTCTTGCAACCTACCTATTCTTCTTTATTGTTCACCCTTGCTTATTCTTTCGTGGTTTGCTAAAAGGAATATGTCACAATTCGTAGAATGCTGAAGACCGTCAGTAGGGTAAGTGATGTCCCAGTGGACCACATAGTTAACGTCGTTGTCGATAGGCACTTGACTTCTTGCCATAAGTTTGCTAGATGGGATTTGTCTGACTTGGAGCATCCACTTTACCCTCAACTTTCACCTTGCATCTCCTCAGGTGGAACAAGAAGTAACTTCAGAAAACTGTATGCTCGCACGTCTAAGTATAAAAATTCTATGATACCATACTTGGAACGTATTTTATGTGATGAAAATAATGTCAGGCAACAATTAACTAACCTTTTTTCATCTAGTACATAAACAATTTCCTCCATCCATCCATCCTTATATACTTTCAAGTTTTACTTTTATTACTTCTATTATATTTATGGTCCTGTTACTTCTCTGTTTTACTCTCATAATTGCAAACACCAACTTATCTCCATGACAGCTGTAATCTTTGTTTTTCCCCTCACCATATCATATAAAGAGAACATTACATTCAATATTTTTTTAAATGCATCGACAATACTGTGTGAAACAAGCCCACGGCAATTTTTCACTCGTATTATTATTATTACCTTAACTGTTATTATTATTATTATTAATATGATGGATCCAATTTAGTGGTGTCTAGCGAGTGTTGGGTCCCAGTGTAATATCATGTTCACCTTAAGACCATCACCGAAGCGTCCCTACTGGGAGAAGCCTACATGTTAGCAGAGAGACCAACCATTTCGGTCGAGTAACATCAATCCACGGCGAAATATGAAATAAACATTCTCTTGTAACTTCTGGGAAAGCTACTCATTGGCCTTATAGCACAACTAACTAACTAATACACAGCTGATAATAATTTCTCATTTTTTTTAAAAATCGATAAAAATAATTAAGTATTCCCAGTGATATTTTAATTGGTGGATGGTGACTAGCAGTGGAATCCAGGATGAAGCGCACTTCGTCCTATTTGGGACTCGCTAGTCAGCTGGATGTACCTGCGATTCCCAGTGAGTGATGATGTTCCCACCGAGGCTCGAACCCAGTGCCAATAGTTTCAAACACCAAAGCGTTATCCACTTGAGCCCCGAGAGCCACCTCCAGATGATGAGTCCCAAATAGGACGAAATGAGCTTTATCCTGGATTCCACTGTTAGTCACCATCCACCAATTGAATTCTAATTTAAATGCCCAGACATCGTCGAAGCATCTGCACAAGAAGCCAACAGACATGTCAACCTTAGACCGAGCAGCACTTCAGTCGAATTAATCGACTGGAAAATCTAAAATTCAATTGATATTCCCAGTGATGCTTACTTTTCACTCACAGTTTTGTATCGGTTTTATTTTTTTTTTTGTTATTATAGGAACGTAGTTCTCTTCAGAGGTTACTCACAGCTTATTGGTGTCCAAAATCGATAACTGCACAAACATTACTTGAAGAAACAAGGCATTTACAATATTTCTCTACTGGAATTGAAAGGTTACTTTGAACTCTTTTGTTATCATTATTATTGTTGTTTTTGTCTTTGTGCATTTTGTGAGAAAATGAGGGTAGTTTTCCTTGGCAGAATATAATAGTGACTATTTTATAGTACGGCTAATTTTGTTTAATTTATGCCTGCCTTATAACCTTGAAATAATTATATTTCGCAGTTATTGCACATTTGTGGCACTTTTTGTATTTCTCGCTCTCTGTGTACACTAGACTCTCATTGGTTGCTTATTCCTGAATCTTATTAATGCTGCCCAGCCATCAAGTGTACAATTGAAGTGGAAACCGGACGGATAGCCTCCTTTCTGGATATTTGACTGACAAAGATAGATAGATAGAACTTTGAATAGATTGGTATACAGAAAGCCTATGTGGAACGACTAGTTGACAAACTTTTACGGTTGAATACCCCTTTTGTCGCAAGCTGAACGTGGTAATATCTCCTGAGACTAGGATCCAAAGAATCTGCAGCCTTGAATCAGCAGATGAAGAGATCCCTATTCATGGGAAGAAACTACTTACGAATGGCCCAAAGTCAACAACAAACACCCTATATCTGTGCGGAAGAAAATGCTATACATGAATGGGGGGTTCAAAGGGGACCTTCTGGCCGAATTTCTAAAGAAGAGAATTTGGGAAGCCATGAAAAGAATATTTTCTGCTGCTACATTACGATTGGTATTCTCTTGCTGTCCAATGTTCTTCAACAACTCGAAAGCATAACTATCCTATTTGACCACTTCTATCTGTATTTACCAGTTCACTTGCTTATGGGGAGCGAGATATATAGGTCTGGGATATCATTTATATATATATATATATATATATATATAATTATTATATCCTTTAATTCCTAGAGGAACATAGGGCTTCAGCCAAGCACGTCTTCATTGCCTTCGGTTTTCTGCCAATTTTTTCACCCCGCTCCAAGTCACCCTCACAATGACGACCAACTCGCCGCTTCCCTTTCGGATTCCACTCGAGCAATGGCTTGTCTAGTGATATCACCTGATGGTTTCCTCAGAGTATGGCCAGCCAATCCATCTCAATTTCTTCCCGTCTGTTTGTTTCACAATCAGTTCCTTCTGAGTTGGTTCGCTCCCAGAGATCTCCGTTGCTGATATTTTCTGGGCGGACATCTGATCTTGAGTGGTATTGAGTGAAAACAACTGTTAATGAAGGTCTGAAGTCTGTTTGAGATGCTCTTTATGACGCGCCAAGTCTATGATCCGTATAGTGAGTAGCATTGAATTCACATTGGAGTTGAAGATCCGGATCTTGTTTTTTCATGCTGAGTCAGTCCTGTTGATCTCCACACAGACTTGAGAGAAATGAAAGCTTCCCTTCCTTCCCCGATTCTCACTTTGATATCCTCGTCAGTTCCGTCCCCCTGTAGTTGAAACGCTGCTTCCTAGGTAGGTAGGTGGGTAGGTGAAGGAGGTTGCTTCTTTCAGATTCCTCCTATTTATGCTAATTGTCGTCTGTTGTTGTTTTTGTTGCTGTTGGCCAGGAATCTTCATCACCTACCTCTGTTTTCTCTATGTTCACCTGAAGTGTGGGTCTATCTTTGGTGCTTCTTCTGCCAACTTGTTGCTTTTCACTTGTATATCTTCCAGTTTGTGGGAAATCAGACATATATCGCATCGGCGAAGTCCAGATCCTCCAAGTTTTTTGTGTGGATCGATTTTATGCCTGTTTCCTCATTGCCCGATGTCTTTCGCATTATCCAATCTACTGCAATCAGGAAAATCATTGGCGATAGTAGACAGCCTTGACTCACTCCCGTCTTCACTTCGAAAGATTCCGTAAGTTTTCCATTGTCCTTTATATATGATAAGGCGATTTTCTTTGTGCTTTTCTTGGGGGCCTTTTTGGTTTAAAAAGCTCGAAGAAAATTGCCTTACCATATATAAAGGATATCTGAGAAATCACTATAAGACTCTTCAAACCTTTAGGAATTGACGTCGTACACAAACCAACAAACTTACTTGACTCAGCTGGCTCTATGTCAACCAAAAGACTCAACTGCGAATGAAAGAAGATGAAACCAACATCATCTACAATATAATATAATAAACTCATGGAGAAATCTAAAAGCTCATTTCAATTTGAATTGAAGTATGCGTGTTGAAGATGTTGCCTAGTAAGTAGGGCGATGAAAGCTTCGCAAATTAACTATCCAACCAGTTTAGAGAACACAGCCACATCAAAATTATTGGATGTGTGTCTTATCTAAATGAATGAAAAATCACTGTCCCGTTTGGCTATGAAGAGGTAACAGCGGATCGTTAAGAGGCGCTGTAATTGAACACTTTGTCAACACCGGTCACTAAATATGCAAGGAGAACTCATTCAAAACTAAGTGTTTGTCAGAGTCACTTAAAACCAATATAATATTCAGTGTTGGTGTTCACTGTGTTCAACGGATGTGTACAGCAGCATTGAATAATCTCTAGTCAACAGTACGTAGTACTCTCTTCTTGTTCTTTGAGTGCCAAAATTTTTTTTGGTGGCAGTCAGTCAACCTTATGATTAGTGATTACAGTAGTTTTTATTTTCGCATATTAGGTTTCTACTATTGACAGTCTACTACGCTGTAGACTGCGGTAGACTGGATAATGCGAAAGACATCGGGCAATGAGGAAACAGGCATAAAATCGATCCACACAAAAAACTTGGAGGATCTGGACTTCGCCGATGCGATATATGTCTGATTTCCCACAAACTGGAAGATATACAAGTGAAAAGCAACAAGTTGGCAGAAGAAGCACCAAAGATAGACCCACACTTCAGGTGAACATAGAGAAAACAGAGGTAGGTGATGAAGATTCCTGGCCAACAGCAACAACGTACAACAACCAGCATAACTGGGAGGAATCTGAAAGAAACAAGCTCCTTTACCTATCTGGGAAGCATCGTTTCAACTACAGGCTGACGGAACTGATGACGATATGAAAGCGAGGGTCGGAAAAGCAAGGGAGGCTTTCATTACCCTCAAGTCTGTGTGGAGATCAACAGCACTCATCATGAAAATGAAAATAAGATCTGGATTTCTAACTCCAATGTGAAGTCAGTGCTACTATACGGATCAGAAACTTGGTGCCTCTATGCGTCACAAAGGGCACTTCGAACAAACTACAGACTTTCATCAACAGGTGTCTTCGCTCAATACTACTCAAGATAAGATGGCTGGCCAGAAAAGATCACTGACAGGGAAGGATCTCTGGGAGCGAACCAACTCAGCAGGAACCAATTATGCAACAAATGTGCAGGAAGAAATGGAGATGGATTGACCATACTGTGTGAAAACAAACCATCAAGTGACTTCACACACCAAGCCATCACTCTAGTGGAACCAGAACTGGACGCAGCGAGTTGGTCGTCGGTGGGAGGGTGACATAGACTGGGGAGGTGATGTGAAGAGGAGATGAAAGCATGTGGGCAGACGTGTGTGGAGCCAGATGAAAACGTTGGCACAGAATTGAACGCGATGGAGGCATGCTTGGCTGAAGCCCTATGTTCTTCTAGGAGTTAAAGGAAACTATAATAATACTACTCTGTATTAGCGGTTATACCAGACTCATGTGATAATTACTAATTTCTGTCGTATAATTATGAGAAGAAAAAAAAAGAAATTTCTTGCATTCCTGACCTACTAATTATCTTTTGTTTTTACTTAATGTGTGGAGCACAACTCACTATTTAATTATATGAGTAGCTTCAGTTTTACTATATTTTGATAGCATACGATCTCTTCGAACAGAAATACAAATGTATTACCATTTCGCCAAATTATTATTTAGCCACTCTCTCTCTCTCAGCTGAGTCAAACCTGACACTGTTGATAAACTCGACCGGAAACCCACGAAACAACCAAGAGCTCTTGTCACAAATACATTGACATTCAATAAGCATTATAAATGAAAGTATTTTGTATTTGGTTACAGGATTTCATCATGACCTGATATTGGTTAGAGAACCATTGGAAAACCACCTGGTAGTACTGGACAGCTATTTCGTCCTAGTTTCGGACTCTTTATCAGTATGCACCCATCGGGGTTCGAACTCTGGACCTTCTGGTTACAAGCCGAGCTAACTAGTAGACCGTGAAGCCACTGGGACCTGCCAATCCATGAATTCTAACTTCTGCCAATTCATGACATAGCGCGACCGCTAGCCAACGTCTTCGGCGAGTATTTGTCCTCACACCCGACCTGCTGTACCCTACTGGTTACGACGTCCCACTAGAACCCCAGGTAACTATCTACCTGAATAGGGCCAGTCGCCAACGAGCATCTCATTGATATTCAAATATTGGTTTGTAGGGATTTGGTTGATTGGTTACAGGATTTCAACATAAGGTGAATGAATGAAAAACAAAATGATGATATCGTTGTCGTTTTTACTGACGTTTCACTATTCATTAATGCTGCTGCTAATAGCTTTATCAAAGTAGTATTATTAAACCAGAATTTACAAAATCAACTCAGCTTATAGCGTTGTTATATATAAGCTGAATGGATTTTGTAAATTCTGGTTTGATAATACTACTTTGATAAAGTTATTAGCAGCAATATTAAACAGCGAAACGTCAGTAAAAACGACATTAATATCGTTTTGTTTTTCATTCATTCACTGGGAAATACAAAAGAAACCTTTATTATAGTGTTATATAGTTTGGTTTGTAAGGATTAGTTATATTTTCTCCGAGTTGATCACGGATTGATATCAGTTAGAGAACCAATGGAAGCCAGGGAGTACTGGAAATCTGCTGTTTCATCCTAGTTTGGGAATTATCGGAAGTGCGCACCCGTTGGGATTCGAACCCAGGACCTTCCGGTTACAAGGCCAGCTAGCTCGTATACCATTCAGCCACTGGGACCCGACTCCTCAATGGCCAGTCCATGAATTCCAACTTCTACCAATTCGTGATTTAGAGCGACCCCAACCAATGTCGTCGGTGGGACATCCATCCACACACGTGACAT